AATAAAATTATTATTATTATTATTATTTTAATTATTTATTTCGAACTAATGAACTAACGACAAAAAAATAATAATGATGATAATGATAATAACTTTTTTTTTTTTTTTTTAAAATGATGTCTTCAATTTGTAAGAACAACCATTTTTCTTTTTTTTTTTTTTTCGAAAGTACCGGATGTTCCGTTAATTACGTAAATTTGAAACATCAGTAATAAAAAATGATTCGGTGAAAACAAAAAATTAAAACCGTTTGTCTTTACCACCACCACCGCCGCCATTTTTAAAATTAAAAAAAATTTTTTTTTTTCGCGTTTTCGGTTAATTTTTTTTGTTTTTTTTTAACAATAAATTTTGACCTTTTTCTACAAACAGTTTGTCGTTTGTTATTTGAAATGAGAAACTGTGGAAGAGGAGGGGGGGAGGGGAGTAAGGTACGGTACAAATAAGTAAATAAAAAAATTTCTGTTGGGCATGTTTCTTAAAAAAAAAAAAAAAAAAAAAAAAAAATTTTATATGAAAAGAAACGTTTACACATTTGCATTACGATTGCGTGTATGCGTGCGTGCGCGTGCGAGCGTGGGTGTATACATATACAATATTATTATTATTATTGCTTCTATTATATTATGACAATTTAATAGTTATTAAAGTCATATTATTAGGAATTTATATTCAATTTTTTTTTCTGTTTTTTTTTTTTTTTTATTGATTATCATGAGTCGTCGTTTAACATAAATCTCGTAAATGGAAAACTTTTATTGGGGAGGGGGCGAAGGGTGAAGAGGAGGAGGGGAGGAGGAAAGAAAGAAAAAAAATTCAATAAAAGGAAAAAAATATATACAATAAATAAAAAAAAACGAAATAAATAAATAAAAAAATAATTTAAAAAAAAAAAAACGTATACATAAACGTATATATTTTATAATCGTCTGAAAACGAAGAGGGGTGGGGAATGGGGGAGGGAGGGGGAGGAAAAAGAAAATTTTAACAACGTAAAAAAAAAAAAACATCACAGACGACGGTATGTTTTTTTTTTTTTTTTTTTTTTTATTTGCTTTTGAACGTATTGTAAAAAAAAAAAAAAAAATTCGGAGGGAAAAAAAGGAAAAAAAAATTAAACTGGAGAATAAAATGGCGGATGACGTCGACGACGACGACGACGACGAGGACGACGACGAGAATAAGGACAATAGTTTTTTTTTTAAGACACGAAAAATTTTTTAAAATATCATTTATTTGTGTGTGTGTATATATGGTAACAGCGGAAGTTTAAGACCATATAAAGTTCAACAGCCTCGACTTGTTTGAGGAATGAGTAATTACACACACTCACACACGCACACGCACACACACACACACACAAAAGTTTAAAAAAAAAAAGAAAAAGAACAACCGAGTTTTACGTCTTTCATTTAAACTCAATGAAATCATTTTAAAGAAAATTCAACCAAAGAAAAAAAAAAAAACGTTTCCGCCAATTTTTTTTTTTCTTCATCAACGAAATCGTTAATCCGAATGAATAATCGTTTGTTTGTTTGTTTGTTTGTTGTTTGTTAAATCAATTCATTTTATAAATTAATTTTTTTTTTGGTAAATTTGAATACGAGAGCATCATTGAATAAAAAAGGGAAATTTTTGAATTAATTTTTCTTTCCTTTTGTTTGTTAATAATAAATTAAATTGGAATTTAAAAATTATTATTATTATTATTATCACATACGTTTTTCCAGTTTGTTTAAAATGGAAAGTTTTTTTTTATTCGGTTTAAATTTAAATTTAAATTTAATTATTTAAATTGTCAAATAAATAAAAAAAATTGATATTAATAATAAAAAAACGTTTTTTTTTCGTAATCATTCGTCGTTTGTTTTATTATTATTATTATTATTATTATTTGGAAATTGATAGTTTTTTTTTTTTTGTTATAAAATACACTTTCACTGTAAATAAATAAATAAAAAAAAAAAAAATCTTAATTAAATGAGTAAATCGAGATTTACTTACTTGAACATGATGTTGTTAGAAAGTACAATAAACTCTTCTTTTCTTGTCTACCTTTAAAAAAAAAAAAAAAAAAATCAAATCAAGTTACGAAGATTGAATCATTCAAGTGAAAAAAAAAAAAAAAAATTTTATTACTTTATTTGATACCCCCACGTGTGTGTGTGCGCGTGTGTAAAAATGTTGATTTGTAATGATATAAAATGACACAATTTAAGTAAAAATTAATTTTATCGACCGGTTATTTTTTTACTTTTTAATTGTCCCCATGGTGAAACTTTTTAAAAACGATTTATTTTATTGTTTAAAAATTAAATTTCCCCCCCTCCCCCATTTTCCCCCAAACACGATATCGCATTATAAAAACAACGTTTTAACGATGATAATAATTTTTTTGTTTGTTTGTTTGTCGTCAACTTTCAGTTAACACATGAAGGCGAGAGAATGTCAACAGAAATTCCAATATGGGTAAATGGGGAAATTCGATGGTTGTCGGGACTCGACAAAAAGACGACTTGTAAAGATGTCATCCAAGTACTTTTGGAAGGAGAAGGAATAGATAAAACGGAAGTTAAAGATTTTACAATTATGGAAAGATGGCGTAAAGTCGAAAGACCACTGGATGAAAATTCTAAAATATTAAAGGTAAAATTAATTTATTATTATTATTATTATTATTGGTTGTTTGTTGTTTGTCGAAGAATACGATTTAATTTTCGATATATTTTTAGATATGGTCTCATTGGGGATACGAAAAAAAAGAAGTAAGACTTTGTTTGAGAAGAATCGAAAACGAAGTTGATAGCGGTCGTGGAAGTCCTGTCGGAAGCGGAAGTTTTCCATCGATGAGAAGAAAAAGAAATAAAATTCGTGGAAATGGGAAAACTCCACTCACTTATTCTGAAGCATTACATCCCCGTCGTTTGGCCGAATTGGGTCAATTCGAAACGAAAGAATACGATGATTTTTACTACGGGGTTGGAAAAACAAAACCAACGGAAATAAGTGAAAATTATAATTTAAAAAACGATAATTACCACGACGATAATGATGATGAAATTTACGTTAACAACGAAAACGTTAATTGTCGTAAAAAGTCAAATAAAAAAAGTTACCATTGTCCGAGCACGGGAAAATTACATTCTACCCTTCTACCGGAATATACGGATCCAAAGGGACACGGGAAAAAACCTACGAAATGTTGTTCGAAACGTGAATCTAAACATAGGATAAGAAATTCGGAAAATATAGAAAAACTCATGAAATTGATATTGGCACAAGGAGCGACAATACAAAATCAATTACAAAAACTCAAAGAAAGAGAAGAACAAATAGAATCAATTGAACAGGAAAGACACAGGGAAAGAATTGAAAAAAACGGTCGAAATTATTTATTGGAAACTTATTTGGGAAGTTTAAAAGATGCCGAAATACCAGCCGAAGTCGATGAAGAAAAAGCAGACGATAGTGGAGTCAATACAGAAGTTGGAAGCGATCAATTAATGATTGGAATAAAAAAAAAAAATTTATCCTTCGAGACTGAACTTGAATCGGATGATGTCAATGAGAAAATTAATGAGAAAGAAAATCCGGAACAAGTTCGACGAAGTCACGACGAATACAAAACTCATTCGAATCGTTCGATATTAAAAATCCACAAAAAAACGGCAAGGTCTAAAAGCGAAAGCAGATCTCAGGAATACAAATCGGAAATAACGATAAAGCGTACCCTCAGCGACAATTCCCTAGAAAATGTCGACGGAATGGAAAAGAAAAGCGAAAAAATAAAAAGAGAGAGTTCGGAAGAAGTTGTGGAACTTCGGAAAATTCAAAGTCAAATTGAAATATGGGAAAAAGTATTCAAAATAAATAAAAAATTGGAAAAGGAAGAAGAAAATTTAGTACGTTTACATTTGAAAATAAAAAAATATCAAAATGATAATTACAGGTTGACCAAAGAAAAAATAAATGATGGGGATAAGGAAGGAGAAAACGTCGTCGACGTTCAGGATAAAAAATCATGGATGGATCATTCTGGTGAAGACGACGGTTTGAACGACGAAAATGATTACCATGAAATAAAAAAAAATTTAGAAACGCTTAAATCCGATCTCGATCATAACAGTAAAGAAATTTATAATAATTTTACGAAATTAATTGAAGAAGATGAAAGAGTCGAACAAAAGCGTAATTGTTTAACAAAATTAATATCCGATTTGGAAAGGACGAATCTAGAACAGGATATGCTTAACGAAATGATAAACATGAGAGAGAAAAAAACAACGGAGAATAATACCGGAAACGAATGCGATGAAGAAAAAATAAATTTTAACAGTTTTACTAAAACTACGAATTTACAAACAGACGGAAATGCATCAATACCACCACCATTACCATCTACCTGTACAGATAATAATAATACGTGTTCAATAAATTACCATTTACCTCACCAATCAGAATTATTTAGTAATAATAACAACAACCAAAGCAATGAAAAAATCGATGATGACGTCATTGATAAAAAAGTTCAACAACAACAACAATTCAAACCAAAGACTGTTAAAATTTCATTCGAAGATAAAGTTCAAAGCTGTGAAAATTTAGATAATAAAGAATCGGGACTCCCGACGACGACGACGACGACGACGACAACGACAACCGTTCCCGTGGGTGCATTAAAAGGAATTTTAAAAAATCGTAAACAAAAACAATTTTTTAAAAATACGGACGATGTTAAAATCATCGATTCGCAAAAGTTCGTGCAAAACAATCACGAACGGTCGAACGGTAATAATTATTATTATTTAAATTACGGTAATACAAATCAAAATATTAGTAATAATAATAATAATAATTTCTGTCGATCCGTTGATAATATACCATCAGATGAAAATAATTACCTTAATTCTATTGGTTTGCCGATTTACGATCAATCATATCACGAACCAAATCAAAATTACGTTACATCGACTCCATTACCAAATAGTTACGACTTAATAAAGACTGCTTATTCACGATCTAATGATATTACGAGGTCCATTCATCCTCCTCTTCCTTCTCTTCCTCTTCCTCCTCCTCCTCCTCCTTTAACCAACGTTTATCCTCACAGTACAATAGTTAAAACCAAAGGAACCATTTTAAATGATACTGATTCTAGTACATCATCAGATACTTCGGGTTTATGTTCTATGTATAGCAGTAGTCCTACTAGCGTCGAACAACCCTACATATCACAAGGTTATATATTAGATACATTAGTTTAAAATACGACGATGACGTCATAGTCACAACCACCACCACAACCACATCATCATCGTTTCAAAATATCAACAAACAAACAAACAAACAAACATTAAATCTATCTTATTTATAAGATTATTATTAAATTAATATGATTGTAAAAAAAAAATAAAATAATGATAATATTAATAATAATAATAATAATAATAATTTGTTATTGAATTTACGTTGAAATATATATTTTATATTTTTTTTTCTTTTCTAATCGTTTCCTTATTTTTTTCCTCCCATCATACCTAAACGAATTGAAAAATTATTTTAATTAAATAATAATAAAAACCTTTTTTTTTTTTTTAAAAATTAATCTTTTTACCCCACCCCCACCCCACCCCCCGCCACCGGAAAATAATAAACAAAATTTTGTTTGATTATTATAATAAAAATTGAAATATAATCATTACAAAAACATAATTAATTAGTTTTTTTTTTATGTTTCGTTTTTGCATATTTAAAATAAATTCGGAATGTTGAAAAAGTGAAAAAGATTTAAAAAGAATTTTAAATTTATAAAAAGATTTTTACTGGAATACAAAAAAAAAAAAAAAAAAAAAAAAAAACACAATTAAAGTTAGACAATGAGTTAAACAAAAAAAAAAAAAATACAGTTTGATGCATTGATTTATGATGATTATTCGGTGTCCATTGGGATTTCGTTATCCGCATCATCAACATCCGGTACACTTTCACCATCCCTTGGTTGATCTCCGTGAGGAGGTCGAGGGTCATCATCAGAAGGACGACCCGCACGACGTTCCTCTCCTTCGACCATGCTCAAATAATGACCGGTTAATTGTTCATCAAACACATCAAACTTTGTATCTTTTCCTACGACTCCGATAGATACGTTCTAAAAAAAAAATTACCCAAATAAATTTTAATTTATTTTTATTCAAATATGAGTTTGTTGGTAAAATAAAATTTGGGTTTTACTTTTGAATTTAACTCGACTTCGTTGGGAAGAGTGTCTCTTAATGCTCGAAGTCCATGTTTAATCAATTCATCTGTACCACAACTGGCAAACTCTTCTAAATGTTTTTCTAAATATGTTCTTGCACTCTGAGACCTAGATCCTATTGCCATAGCTTTACAATCGAAATAATTGGCAGAGGGACATGTTTGATAAATGTGTGGGCCTTGATCCTTATAAAGAAATTATCAAAATAAAAATTAATTATGCAAAAAAATTTGTGACCAAAGTTAATTTTTAATTACTAAATTAACTATAAATCTTACATCAAAACCAGCAATTAGTAATCCTACACCATAAGGCCTCTTGTCATATCTTTGAGTGCAAACTTGCATTTTATTTCCAATATTTGTAATTAAACGACTAACTGGTAATTCTTCATCATGGACATATTTATGGTTTAAACACTCTGTTCTCATGTAGCGACTATTCAAATAAGAAACAGAAAATTAAAATCAAGAGAACATTATAGTAATTTTCAATACATTTACTAATATATTATCACTTGCCTTAGTATTCTAGCATCAGCTGTTAATCCTGATATAGAGATTCCAATGTGGCTATCAATTGGTATAATTTTTTTCTGATGAGCTGACAATTCGCTTGAAGCTCTTTTGAGAGCAATTAAAACAGCATGGGTTTTATTTTTTAAGCCAACTGTAGCTGATCCCAATTTGACAGCTTCCATTGCATATTCAACTTGATGTAACCTGCCCTGAGGGCTCCAAACTGTAACATCACTGTCATACTGATTTCTGAACTAAAATGGTAATACAGTAAATTAAATAAGATTTTTTTTTTTTCGAAATATTAAATATAGAAATTTTAAATTAGTTTTAAGCAGTTGTGAGTATTATTTTTGTAAGATAAGCCGATGTAAGTACCAAATAGGTATAAATATTAAAAATTATTGTTATCCGGTGTCTTCATTACTATTTCTTTCTATACTATTCCTTGATCATTTTCTTATGTAAATCGCATTAGAACAAAGAAAGGAAAGTATAAAAAGTATAGTTTTACAGTTTTTACAACATTTTCGATTAGATACACAACAAAATTCATTTTAAATAATACAAATTAAACTTACCATGATTAGCGTAAATTATAAGGCTAACAAAACTATAGAAATGAAAACTACACAATCATATTCCATAGAGTAATACTTTTACATTCTCTGTGCTCAACAGTTACGGACGTTTCTCTGAGTCATTTAGTACGGCATTTCGGAACGGTGATTAACAGATTAAATTTTTTTACATTTACGTGAATTATTAAAAAAAAGTAATTATTTTATAGTAAATTTAAAAAAGCTAATAGAATACTATAATAATCGTTTAGTTACATGAAAATAATTTTTTTTGGTAAAAAAAAACTTATAAAAAACTGTACAAAAGAGACATCTACTGCTTTTAACAAACACTAAGTTCATTCTCATTTTGTAATCTGTTTCATTCTTTAAAAAGCTAGTATGAGACGGCGGTGACTGCAGAAAGAAGTACGTAGAAAATTATGCAAGGATATTGAAAAGATAACATTCGAAGTAAAAATATAAAAACTGTTTAGTGCGTGGATATATATCTATAATTTTCAGTGTTTAAACTAATATCGGAGTCACATTATAGTCTACGTTTGTTGTCCTATATTCGGAAAAGGATATTAAAAACTTCGAAACGCCCGTCACCTCCTTAAAATGGCGGCGGCAGTGAATGTTCTCCTTTGTTCCGTATGTTAATTGAAATGATAAAGGAGTCGATGGTGGCTGAACATCGAATCGAAAGGTGATAATTTGCATTATTTAGTTTTGCATTTAAAGCTTATTAAATATTTATTGGTGGTGGCTACGATGAATTTTTTAAAAGTATTGAGGCAATGTCCTACTTGTTTTTAGTGTCTCTAGACATTAGTATTAAGATGTTTGTAAACTTTAGTTTTTTCCCCATATTATAATAGTAAAGAAGAAACTAAATAATGTTTTGGTTGTAAAAACATATTTTGAAATACAGGTCATAAATTGCACTTGTAAGTCACAACATTTAAGGTATTTTTAATAAATATACAAATTACACTACAAAAAAAAAAAAGAAATCCCAGTTAATTTTTTTTTTTTTTTGTTGCCTATTTTTAATATGATTTATGCACATTTTTTTAATAATACAAAAACTCCTTTAATGACTAATAAAATAAAAAAATATAGTTATTTTAATTTACTAAAAACAATATAATTGTGTATATATATATTTTGTTTTTATTTAATAAAATTTTTTAATGCCTGATTAGATAAAAAAACTTTTATGATGAAAAAAAAGAGCACACTTGACTTTTGACCCATATAATTTAACATTGGCAGTTTGCCACCAGAGTAAATGCTACAATGATAGTTTATTTTGATTAAGTGAATGCTATTATCCAATGGCAAAATAAGCTATTCCATATTATTACATCTTGGTTCTGAATTAAAACAAACTTAAAATTATTATTTGGTATCCCTATATTTTTAATATGCATACATATGTATGTATGTTTTACAAGGCTGTAAATAATTTAGGAATCGAGAAAGAGCTAACAAAATTTTCTTATCAATTCACATATGTTACAGTAAAATGTTTTTTTTTTTTTTTTTTTTTTTTTCACATATACAAATATGAAAATCGACAAATTATTTTAAAAAAAAAAAAACAAAACAAATCACAATTTTTCCTTGTAATTACGTTCATTACATTATTTTATTTCTTTTGATAATATAATTACAGAGTTCATATGGATGTGACATGTTTATCCACTCTACTGCTCCCCATCAAGGCCTCGGCGGAATTGTTAACAATACACATTCAAATAGTCACTCACATTCAGGGAGTTTCTCCGATTCTTCGACCGTTCACGTACTCAAGAGGAGGAAATTAGATGCAACTTATGACAGTTATGTGGCTGGTGAAAAAAATAACGGTTGTTTTTCCGTCGTGAAAAATAACGAAAATTTTATCGTACCGACGAGCAAAGTACAAATCGATGGTTATGTGACCAAAATAAAAGATGAAAAATATTCAAATAGTAAAAATTGTTCATTAAAAACAACAAACTGTACGGAAAATTATGCTGGAGTGATAAATAGAAATTTGGTTAGTTACGCAAATAGTATTCATAAGAGTCATGAAAAGTTTAGCGATGGTCATTTTATCAAGAACTCGGACAGTTCGTTTATATCATCGAGTTTAAACTCAAACATTGATTGTATAAATTCAAGCAGCAGAACAAGTTCAGCGAGGAGGTCTACAAATAAAAATGGCTCCACCGATGGAAGAAGCCCTCAAAATGGGGCAATGCCTCAGACATTGGTTCGTGCCTCCACCATCAAATTGTTAGATACTTATCACCGCTGCGGACAAAAGGTAAATTATCCTTATTATTTTTCGAGATGGAAAATTTTTTAATTTCGTTTTTTTTAGTTTTTTAGTTTTTTAGTTTATTTGTTTACTTTTCGTATGACGTAGATAAAAAAGTTTTTGTTTTGTAACAAAAATAGTTGTAATAATATGTCACATTATTAATTTTTATATAAGCATCATTGGTATTATTGTCATTTATAAATAATATTAGTTAAAATTTCAATTTTGGTATTATCAAACATATTATTAGGTTTTTGTTTAGTTGCGGAAGTAGTTTTGAGATGAAATACACACACACACACTCTCTCGTTGGCTTTATATATTCACTCAATGTGGTTAAGAAAATGTTTTCAAGTCATAATATCATCATTCCTTATCACAATTTGCCATGTCACAAAATAAATTTCTTAAAAAATTTTTTTCTTTTTTTTTGTATATTTGCTAAATTTAATAAAACATTTGCAGGATTTGGACGATTTGTTGTTATACAGAGTTTAAAATTATTCGCGGGAAAGGCCGGGTAAGGCTTTATTATTATTATTATTATTATTATTTAGCTTGAATTAAAAAAATTGCTTCTTTTCTAAAATAAAATAAAATAAAATATTCAATAACAAATGGGGGTTATAATAAATGAGCTTAAACTCTTATCACAGACATATTAATTGTGTGATAAATATGTTGTTGTGTTCGATTGCATCACCGTAACCAACTGATTTACTTTGTAAGAAAATATGTCTACATATACATATATTTTTTTTTTTAAAATGGGATCTAAAAGGTATAGGTGTTTTTTTCATTTTTTTGCTTTTTTTTTATTTTTATTTTTTTTCCTATCGTTGGTTGGTTTTAATTTGTTAGTTTTTGTGTTTGTTTTGTTACTAATTAAAATGCTTGCCTAAGTCATGACCTTCGAGCGTTGTTTTAATCTTATCGAAAAAATATCTTGATGTTCTAAGTTAACATAATATTTTGTTAAGGCCCTCGAGAGAGTTATTGGATTTCGATTTTTTTTTTTTATGCATTTTGTTTTTTTTTTTTTTTTTTTTTGTAAATGAAAATTATTGGAAAATATAATCGGTGTTAAAAAATAACTTGCTAATTTTAATCATTGGAAAATGTAAAAAAAAAAAAAAAAAAAAAAAAAATGACGAGTTAGTGTTTAGTATCGATGCGCACATTTATATATTAAATTTACGAAAAAGTTTTATTATTATTATTAGGTGTTTGGTGTTAAAATCAGGAGGAAGGTAAAAAGGAAAAAAACAACTTTTGTGTTAAATTTAAAAAAAATTTTGTTGTGTCCCAGTTTTATCCTTTTTTTTTTTTTTTTTTTTTTTAAACTTCAAATGATGTGAAAATAATTAAAATGATAATTTATTGTGTTTTAGCGCAAGTGTTGCGGCGGGGAAGGTGATGGTGCGGGGGGTCAAAGCACCACAACGACGGCCCACGGGAAGACGGGGGGCGCGGGGGCTGCTCCCGCTCCCCAAACGCAGCAAAGCTCAGGAGCAGATGGTGACTATCAACTTGTACAGCACGAGGTACTTTATTCAATGACGACTCAATATGAGGTACTCGAGTTTCTCGGTCGCGGAACGTTTGGCCAAGTCGTCAAATGTTGGAAAAAAGGTACCAACGAAATAGTCGCCATCAAAATATTAAAAAATCATCCTTCTTACGCCAGACAAGGACAAATTGAAGTGAGTTAATGTAGAACGCATTGTCCGATTGAAAAGGTTTAAATTAAAGGAACCAAATAAAAATGTTCAATATGGTTCAACATTTTTGTTTTAGGTTTCGATTCTGTCGCGTTTAAGTCAAGAAAATGCAGACGAATTCAATTTTGTACGAGCTTACGAATGTTTTCAACATAAAAGTCACACTTGTTTGGTGTTTGAAATGCTTGAACAAAATCTATATGATTTTCTCAAGCAAAATAAATTTAGTCCTCTACCTCTTAAATACATAAGGCCGATTTTGCAACAAGTTTTAACTGCTTTGCTAAAATTGAAGGTGAATTTTTTTTGTTTTGTGTTGTTGGCAAGAATGCCCATCGCGTTTTTGTTTTATTCCTTTTTTTTTTTTTTTTTTACTAATAAGAGAAAAATTTTAATTTCAGCAACTCGGATTAATTCATGCCGATTTAAAGCCGGAAAATATCATGTTGGTAGATCCTACTAGGCAACCCTATAGAGTTAAGGTCATCGATTTCGGTAGTGCTTCTCACGTTTCAAAAGCCGTATGCAATACGTATTTGCAGTCGAGATATTACAGAGCTCCAGAAATAATATTAGGTAAGTATTTAAATAAAATTGAACGAAAAAAAAATAATAAAAAAAAACAGTAATTAATACAAAAAAATTATCTTTCTTTAAGGTCTACCTTTTTGCGAAGCAATCGACATGTGGTCATTAGGCTGTGTTGTAGCTGAATTGTTTTTAGGCTGGCCTCTCTATCCTGGCTCATCGGAATACGATCAGATACGATACATCAGTCAAACCCAGGGTTTGCCGACGGAGAACATGTTAAATAACGCCTCTAAAACCACTAAATTTTTTTATAGAGATATGGATAGTACTTACCCTTTCTGGAGATTAAAAGTAAACACGAGGAAGAAGACATAATTAATTTAATTTTAATTTAGAAGTTTTACAACGTTGTGGAAATTTTTTTTTTGTAGACTCCTGAAGAACACGAATCTGAAACCGGAATCAAATCGAAAGAAGCGCGAAAGTACATATTTAATTGTTTGGATGATATTGGACAAGTTAACGTTCCAACGGATCTTGAGGGAGGAGAACTTCTCGCTGAAAAAGCCGATAGAAGAGAATTTATTGATCTGTTAAAAAGAATGTTAACCATGGACCAGGTGGCAATATTTATGACTTTTTATTATTATTATCATCATCGTTAATTAATACGTTTCCCTTAAAAAATTGACATATTTAAAAGGTTTATATAGTTTTAAGATATTATTAATTTTTTCGTGCAGGAAAGAAGAATAATGCCGGGAGAAGCTTTAAATCACGCTTTTGTTACTTTAGCTCATCTTGTAGATTACGCCCATTGTAATAACGTGAAGGCTAGTGTGCAAATGATGGAGGTAATATTAAAAAGTTCTTGTTAATTTTTTGTTAATTTTTTTTTGCGAACGGGTACAGTTTAAATTTTTCAAAATATTTTTTTTTTTTTAAATTAGGTTTGCCGCAGAAACGGATTTAATGGTTCCACCTCATCAAATCATCATCAATCTGCAACTCAAGCTCCTCCACTCGTCAATCTCGTTCCTTCGTCAAACGGAAACGTGACTCTAACTTTCAACAATCAAGTTCAAAGACCTGGGTTTCCAACAGAAAATTTGGTAATTAGTATTATAATTATTATTATTATTACTATTACTAACAATAGACTCCTCGGTTACAAAGTCATTACAAAAATTATTACGTGCTTCTTTTTTAGTATCACTTGTACAATGGACGACGTCAATACAGTAGTTCAGGTCATCAACTTGTCTCGTCTATATTATGTCCGTCTGGTTATCAAGGAATGGGTTCCCCTGCTAAACATGTTACGGTAGTAGCTCAACAACCGGCTCCACAGCTTCAAATACAGCCTACCATAATATCTCAAAACGTAAATTTTTGTCAAAAAAAATGTTTTTGAAAATTTTTCGTTCTGTACTACGTTCGACGTTAACGACCGTATGTAACTCGGTTTACAGGTGGGCGGGCAGCAGCAATATGTTCCTGTATCAATGGTCGAACCTTCCGGGCGGCAAATGTTACTCGCAAACGCAGTTCATACCTCATGGCCAGCTGGTAGCGGGCGACAAATGACTCTTGTTCCATCGTGGCCGACTCAACATGCGATACAGCAAATAAGCGAATCAGATTGGGGTCGACCACTAATAGCCGTTGATTCAACTGCTATTTTGCAGGTATTTACTAATTTACTAATAACCTTAAATTATTTTTTTTTTAAAAAAATCAATTTTACATTCGATATAATTTTTTTCTTATAATTAAAGGAGCAACGACCCGTTTTCCCCGTGGACGTGGGACCCGAAGTTTACGCTGAGCCCAACATAGTTGAACATCATTCGCACAACAGTTGGAATTCGAAAAGACCCAATCACAAATCTAGTTCACATCATCATCATCACCATCATCATTACCAGCAGCAGGTAATGGGAAAAAAAAAAAAAAAAAAGTATTTTTTATCATTAGTCTTTACCTTTGAGAGAGGAAAACGCATTACTACAAATAATTTTTTTATTGTAGTGTAAACTTCAATTCCATGCTTCTGTATCATATCATGATACCCTTCCTACAGTTCCTTGCGTTACTGTAATGCCCTGGCCGTTGACTCATAATATGCATGCATGCACCAGAAGTGTATTAACTTGTCGTTCGCACAATGTTATTGTTTCGGATTTAACCGTCAGATCCGTTTGTAAACCCAAATTAAATCACGTATTTCTCTTTAATTTGGTAATAACTTAATCCTTACCTTGTTCCAAAATTGTTTTTTTAATTTTTTTGAGTTATGGAATTATGCTCTTTTTTTCACGATTAAATTTTCCAAATTTTCCAAAATTAATTTTTTATGTAATCTGTTAAATTATCAAAGTGTATAAAAATGATTGATTGTTGTCGTGAATCCAATTTTTTATTATTTTATTTTACTGTACGTAGGCTTTTGTAATTTGATTATTAAGTAAGGCTTAAGACTTGTAAAAGATGCAAAATAATAAGGTTTAAAATTTTTTCTTTTTTTTTTTTTGCAGCCTTCTCAAGGACATTCTTATCATCATTTATCTGTGCCCAGTAGACACGATCCTAAGAAAGAAGTTACGCAATTAAGTCCCGTTAAAAAAAGGGTTAAAGAAGGAACGCCCCCGAATGAAAATCAAAGAACTCATAGGGATACGCACCACAGAGCCCCGCCGCACGGTCAAAATGGAAGTCCTAACTATTGGCATCAGCAAACTGGCACACAGGTAATGACGAATTCAAAACGATTTTCGAACATTTATTTTATTAAAATAATAATAACTTACCTTTTTTTATTAATTGTCGCGCAGGGTGTGAATGGCAATCGTCAGCAAACGATAACAATTGAAGACACTCCTTCTCCTGCGGTGTCCGTAATTACCATATCCGATAGTGATGATGAAACTCCTGGAAAAAGGTAAAAAAAAAAAAAAAAAAAAATCATTTTAGTTTTTAAACACGAAAAAATTAATTTTATAATAAAAATTTATTATTTAAAAGCAGTAATAATCGGAGTCTCCGTGAACATCGGAAAAATGTTATATCTTATGTCACTGTTGGCGACAGTGATAAT